AAAAGAAAAAAGTTGTAAGTAAATGCAAACACAGGGGAGATCATTGGAAATGTGGATGGATTACATATCTTCATTATGGAGGGTAGGGGCCTCAGTAAATGGGGGTGTCATCATTGATCATCTTTCCTCCCATGTAATACTTCTTAAAGCCTTGTGGATCTGCTAGCGTGTGGATTTAAACTATGGGCAAACATCCCCAAAGTTCTGCCTTCCTGGTTTCACAGCAATGGTTTTCCAGGAACCACTATAAATGGTTCTAAGTTTCAGAGCATGTGCTACTTGATTAAGAATATGGACATGGGTGTGTGACGTGAAGGACTTCTCACTGCTTTAGGCCATGGTGTTTCTATTTAAAACCAATGGAAATAATTTGAAATTCACTTTTAAAATGGCATATCATTTTGCCACTATTCAAATGGAGTGACACAATTTGTGTACCTTTTGAAACTTTTAAAAAATTCCTCCCAGTTGAAAGTTCTGGTCATCTGCGCAGTTGTACCCGTCATGGGTCTTCTGTGAGTAGAGTGATTCCTGTGCATGTCTAAGGTGGTTTTCTGGTTAAAACACCAGGAAGCCATTGCTGTTCAGAGGATAATGAGGTAAGGAAAGTTTAAGGTGACCTGCAGGCAGAGTATCAGCAAAGCAGGTATCTTTGATATCTTCAATGTGGGACATTTTCTGTGTCTGATGAGAAGAGTAGCTGGAGGTTTTTTGTTTCAGCAGAAGGCACCAAGCCATCCATGTTCATTTTTGCTGTTTCCAGGGGTCATTTCCATGTTTACACTTCCAGGATATTTTATGAAACATGGGGGGAAAGGTGTTGCTTTTATTTCTTTAAAGAGCAAAGGACATCGAGACTTGGTCCCTCTTCTTTCTTTCAGTGCTAATTTGTTTTCCTGGTGGTGTAGATATTTTATGATAAAAAGGTATTTCTTTTATTTCTTTAAAGAGGAAAGGACATCGAGACTTGGTTCCTCTTCTTTCAGCGCTAATTTGTTTTCCTGGTGGTGTAGATATTTTATGATCACTGGTATCTCCTATGACCCCTGCCCCATCATTCCTCCCCCCATGCAAATGAAGACAGGCAAGCAGAAATCTTGTCCCGATTTACATAACTCATAACAGTAGAATCTCCATTTTTAAGTCCTAATGTGTGCCCTATTGTCCAAAGTCAAAAACTTTAACTCAGAAGAACGCTGCTAAACTTGTATAATTCTGTACCATTGCAAATGCAGTGTCAAAGTTTCTAAACAGGATTTAAAAGACCACATGGCTATTCATTGCATGACATTCCAGAACAGGTCCAGGTTTGGAGGAACCTGTACCAAATCCCTGTTCAAAGGTGAATACAGTAAAAACCACCACCACGACTGTGTTCCTTTGGGTTGATGGAGTGTTTTCTGTCTTGATGGTGGTGTAACTGCATTTGTGAAAACTCATCTTGAAACAGTATGTGTAAATATTAAAAACAATATGAAACAATAAAAGTGTTAAACTTGTTCTGCATGTGTAACACTTTCTTCCACCACCTTGGCGTCCTTCTGATAAAGAACTGAGAACACAGGCCACAACAGGACATTTGTTTGTTTAACTTTAAATCAGTTTATTGACACTGTAACACAACACACTTGCCGTCCTAACACCCCCACCCCCTCCCCCTCACCCAGATTAGATCTCTCGCCCTTCTTCTCCCTTTAGAACAAGATGTATCTTGAAAACAGAAAAGGGCAGGCCACCTCTACCACCCCAGGCCCTGTGGAGCAGGGTCTCAGGCACTATTCAGAACCTGTTGTGGGGCGGGGTATGCAGTTAGCACCACACTCAGCCAGGCAGAGGCATTCGGTCCTTAGG